GCCGCTATACGTCGCGCCGCCAGGTGGGCCCTCGTACCAGCGGCGTTGATCGCGGATCCTCCCAGAAGGCGGCGCGGCACCACGTTGATCGTGGTGCCTGCTCCTTGTGCGATTCGTGGCCCTACTCCCTTCAGCGGAGAACATCATAGAACCGATCGTCGGCGAGGTGGTGTTGCGTGTCCACCCCATCTAGGAGGCGGAGCGCCACCACCAGGACGTCATCAGCTACCTCAGGCGACCCCTCAGTTGTGAGGTGCTCCCACGTCGTGCCCGTGCATTGCTCTTGAGGACGCCCACACCGTGCTTCTCTCCATCTCCTTCTGCTCGAGCGTCGCCGCCCTCGACGAGCCTTGGCACGAGAGAGGAAGAGGATGAGGGACCGAAGGGAGCAGGCGGCGGTGTTCATGGCGGACTCCATCTCCCACCATGCGGAGCTGAGTCGCTCACTCTCCGGCCGCTGCCCTCATAGCCACCAAGCCGGTCACCGCCCCTAGCACCGTCGCCCATGCCTTCATCTGCATCTCAAGCTCCACCCCATCCCCAGCTGACGCCACCCAAATCGAGCCACTGCTCCTATGATGCCGGAGCTAGAGGAGCGCGTGACGTGGATCTGAAGTTTGCGACACCGGAGCTGCTTGTGGTGTCCCTACTCTCTTTCTCTCTCTCTCCCATTTTTGTTTCCCTCAGATTTCCCCAATTAATTTGGTTCCTGACCTAGGGTTTGGATAGTGGCTGCTGATGATTGCATTGCCCGGCATGGCAGGTTCATTCCTGGCACCAACCTTGAGGAAGAAACTGATCTATCCGTGATGCACGAACTATTGAACTTCCAAAACTGATAGAGCTTTGCATGTTGATCTTCTAGAGTTGGAGATACCTATTTCTGTTTGTTGTGTGCGGGTATTTGGTGATCATCTGTAAGGTTTTCCTAGGATGGTGTGGTAGGTTTCGTGGAACCCAACCACTTCGAAGGTGAGGCTCTCCGTCCTATAGTTGGACGGACCCCCGAAGGTGATGGGCAGATCGATCTGTCCAAGTGGCATGGCCTGCTTTCCAGGCATGATGCCGTGGAAGGGTGCTCCGATCGGCCAGATGCGCGCTAGATCAATGCCCATAGCATCGAGTGTCTCGGCGTACATGATGTTGAGGCCGCTGCCCCCGTCCATCAGTACCTTGGTGAGCCGCTTCGTGCCGACAATAGGGTCGACCACGAGCGGGTACCTACCTGGGTGTGTGACGCTATCCGGGTGGTCGGATCGGTCGAAGGTTATGGGAGACCCTGACCACTTGAGGAAAGCGGGCATGGCGGGCTCAGCTTCGTAGACCTCTCGGCGCGTGAGATTCTGTCGATGCTTGGACCCGTATGCCTCCAGCCCACCGAAGATCACGAGACAGCCATCTGGCGACGGAAAGCCGCCATCCTTCTCTCTAGTGTCGTCGGCTTCTGCCTCGGGCTTCTTCTTCTGCTCCCATTTCTTGGAGCCACCGGTGAAGAAACGCTTCATGAGGGAGCAGTCCTTGTACATGTGTTTGACGGGGAAGGCGTGGTTTGGGCATGGCACCTCGAGCAGCTTGTTGAAGTGATCGGGGGTGCCCTCGGCCGACGCTCGACAGGCTTTTCGCTCTGCGGTGGCCACGAGCAAGCCCCCACGCCCTTTCCGGTTCTTCTTATTCGAGTGGTCGGAGGGGCCTTCGTCGGTGTCCTCGTCCCGCTTCGCCTTGCCTCTAGAGCAATCCAAAATTGCTCCAACCGCCTCCTCGCCAAAAGCGTGGCTGGTCATGATGTCGAGGAGTTTCTTGGTAGTCCGTGGGCCCTTACATCCCAACTTATGGACCAGGGACTCACAGGTGGTCCCTGATAAGAAGGCTCCGATGACGGCGGCATCGGCGACATTGGGAAGCTCGTTGCACTACCGGGAGAAGCATCGAATATACTCGCGGAGAGTCTCTCCCGACTTCTATCGACAGTTCTTAAAGTCCCAGGATTTCCCAGGGCGCGCGTAAGTGCCCTGTAAGTTCCCCATGAAGATTTGTTTTAGGTCCGCCCAACTCTGAATGTAGTTGGGCGGAAGGTGCTCCAGCCATGTTCACGCCGAGTCGGCCAGGAACAGGTGGAGATTGTGGATGACAAAGTCATCATTGACCGCACCGCCGGCCCGGTAGGCAAGCCGGTAGTCCTTGAGCCACAAGCCGGGGTTCGTTTCCTTGGAGTATTTCGGGATGTTAGTCGGCGGGCGGTATCGGGGGGGGGAGCGCCGCCTTTAGGATATGCCAACCGAAAGCCTGGGGCCCCATTGGTTCGGGGCTATGACTCCAGTCCTCCTCGCAGTCGTAGCGCCCACCGCGGCGAGGGTGGTAGCCATGGTTGGCTGCCTCATCTCTGTCACCCTGTGCATGCCTTCGAGCGTTTAGGGTGAACTGAGCCATGGTGGGCCTTCCGTCGCCCTGCGATGAGGGTGTCTGGTGGACGGATACGTCCCTGGCGTGACGTCTTGAGGACTCACGCTGGCGGGCATCGAGCTCGCGTCGTCGAGACATCGAACTCTCTGCCTGCTGCACCGCTGCTCGCTCGAGCAACGTGCGTATCTCCCGATGAGCTCGGCGCTCATCGGGCGTCGCGGGCTCCGACATGCCTCGGATCATAGCTGCCGCCGTGACTATGTTTTGACTGGCGCGGGAGAAGTGTGGGAGGCCATTGTCGTCCTCGATGATCCTCCTGTGTGCGTCGCGGGCCATGGCACGTGCGTGCCCACCGTCCGCGCGGTGAGCGATCTCGCGCTCGAGCTCCGCTTGCTCCTGCTCCAGCTGGAGCCGCGCGTCCTCGAGCTCCTTCTGCCGCGCCCGCAACTGCTCCACGCGTGGGGCCCTTGCGTCCCCCTCGGCCTCGTCGTCCTGGCCATTCGAGGGAGTGGCTTCCCCACTGTGGACACCTTCGTCGTGCACATCGCGGATTCCCACCATGAAGCACTCGCGCGAGGGGTGGTGTCTCCCCCCGCCGGAGTCGGAATCAGAGACGGTTTCGGAGCCTTCCACGATCAAGTCGTAGAAGGACTCCGAAACGTAATTCGTCACACCCACAAACTCGCGGTTCGCGACGGACGGACGTAGGTCACTCCCGGGAGCGTGGGTTCCCGGGGTGTGCAGCCGCAGCTCCCCGAGGGTCTCGATGACCGCATCGAGACTGACGGCCTGAGGCGGCGTGGCGGGGCTGTTAGCCCGCGCCAGTTCTCCCTCCTAGAGACAATGAAGTCTAGGCTTCCGAAACGCATGTGCGTGCCCGGGACCCAGCTTGCACCGTGGTTAGCCATCCGCGGCCTAGTGGTGTCGACGTGACGTGTAAAGACCCCTACCTGGCGCCCCAACTGTCGGTGTTTCGAATAGCCGACTAGTAAATATTGTATATTGCGCGTCTGACCCGGATGGTGTGCTAAGAGGACACAATGATTATACTGGTTCAGGCCGAATGTCTCTACGTCCAGTTTCGAGTTGCTCGTGTTACCAGCACTGAGTTTGTAGTAGAGGGTTGCAAATTGGCGAGAGAGAGAGGAGCTCCCAAGTCTATATGGTTCGATTGCTCGATGCTTCTACTGCTCGATCTATCGGTCGATCGATCTCTCTCTCTGAACGGTGCCCTGCCTTCCCTTTTATAGACAAGGGGAGAGAACCGGATACCCGAGACCGAGAGAAGGGAAGAGGGAAAAACGAAAGAGAAAAATGGCTCCCGAGGATGTGCCGTCCTCCTCTTCGCGTGGGTCCTGCTGACCCTGTAGATCGTGGTGGCAGCGGCGTTGCACCGGGGTCTTGTTGGCCGCTGCAGCATACGTGCGGGCGTCGTTCGCCATTCTTGTCCTCCATCCCATCTGAGCAGACGGAATGGTGAAAGGGTCCCCTGGCAGAGGCCATACGGGGGGTTGGCGGTACAGTGCCAGTTAACTGACGCCGGTCGTCTAGTGTTGGACGACGGTCAGGTAGGGAGTTGGCAGCATAGTGCTGGCCTGTTGACGCGGAGGGCGACTTGAGGCTCATAGCATGGCCTGATGCGACCGCCAGTCGCATCAGGACGCGCCCAAGACGTGCTCCCGGGCGTGCGTCTCCATGCCGTAGTGGTTGAAGCGGTTCGGGTCCCACTCTAGGGCCACTGCTTTCGTCCGGTAGCAAATCCGAATCCGACCCCCAGCGAACGGGCAAGGCAGAAATCTTGCCCTAGGGTCGGGCGAGACGGAATCCGACCCTTGGGGTCGGACGAGGCGGAGCTCTCCCCGTGGGACCGGACGAGTCGCAGCCCACGCCTTGGGATCGGACGAGTCGCGGCCCACGTCTTTGGGTCGGACGAGGCGGAAACCTCGTCCTCGGAGTCGGACGAGGTGTGGCCTAGCCCCTGGGGGTCGGACGAGGCTGTAGTTGCGTCCTTAACCATCGGATGAGCCGACACGACGCTCATTAATTTTTTGACTCGGATTCCCAGGTATAGATATCCGACGCCATGCAATTCGGTTCATGGCAAAAACCAATTGAACGCACCTCTTCCTCTCCGCCCGCACGAGCAACTCCTTCGCCGCGTTCGGCCCTCATCCATCTTGGGCAAACGAACCGCGCACTCGCACGGCGTCGCTGCAGTCACGCCTCCATGAACGCCATCCATCGTCTTGTCCAAATCGCCTCTATATATGGAGCTCCGTTGCTGGCGAATCGACGCCGTGGTGGTTGCCAGGTAGCCGCTGCGGCGCCACGCCGAACGCCGGCCGAGCAGTGCAGGCTTAGCTCCGCGCTCTGCTATGCAACGTGATGTCAGCATGACATCATGTTGACGTCGTATACCTCATTTTCCCATGGAAAACAAAAATGAAGAATAGACTAGAAAAACTACAAAGCAATGCACAGGAGTCGTTCATCTCTGGATCAGCTAGCACCCAGAGATTAACCAGCCCATATCCTCCTCACCTTGGTCTGGGGCGGACCCACTAGCTAACTGCCGGCAAACCTTAGTACCATTCGTCTCAATGACTGCAGCAGGTGAGAGAGCTCATCGAGCTTATGTTGGCACTTGGCAGCGTTAGGAAACAGGCGTTTGGGGAAGAAAAGGAATTGCCGAAAGGGTATGGACTGGTGTCGTTGGCTAATAATAAATGACATCACAAATATTTATACTGACATCATAAATAATGTTTTGAGTGCAAAAATATTTCTGAAAACCTGACATTCAATTCGCACTTACAAACCCCTTCTTTTTAAAAATAATAATATCATTAAGCACATCTATACTTACTATTACGTAGAATTATTTAGTACCCGCCGTGCAAACTCGCGGGCATGCTGTGCAATTATAAAAGATTATTAAGGGACTAAAACAAAAAAAAAATGACAAGATTAAGTTGACGGAGAAGAAGAACGAAGTGGACAGAGAATATAATGTAATAAATATATGGAACTCCGTATCACGCCTACAATCTTGTGCCTGCAATACTGCATCCCTATTCCCTCCTCCCTCGGCTCGTTCAGTTCTGCGGCCGGCGGCGACGACGACATGGCCTCCCTCAATTTTTCCTCTCCCCCTCCTCTTGCTAGCTCCACAAGCATCGATCAGACTCAGACGATCGCATCACTAGTACTCGAGCTGGCAACGCAAATCAACCAAACATAATCTCTGCTCATTTTCCTCTCTGTCGTCCTGCCGGCAGAGCTCGGTGGTGAAGCTTGGGACGTGGGGCGGCGACGGCCGCAGCGCCTGCGACATCACGGTGGCGCCGCAGCGGCTGGAGAGCACATCACCATCCGCTGGGGCAAGGTCATCGACTGGATCTCCTTCTCCTACCGTGACCGGAGCGGGAAGATGCACACCGCCGGGCCCTGGGGCGGCAACGGCAAAGGCGAGGGCACGGAGACGGTGACTTCCGATCCTTAGCTCGCATCGATCAATTCAATGGTTGTTTCAATAATTCTTTTGCATCTACATCCGCACTTGCATGCAGATCACACTGGAGGCCTCGGAGTATGTAACCGGAGTTGCGTGGTCAGTGGGCCCATTCACGCTCAAGAACGTGGAGCGTTGCATCACCTCCATCAAGGTTGTGAGCAACCTCCGCAGCTACGGCCCTTTCGGCCACGGGGTAGACAGCACGCACCACAATCTGCCCGTGCTCAATGGCAGCGTCGTCGGCATGTTCTCCCGCGCAGGAGATTTACTCGACGCCATCGGCTTCTACATCCTCCCAGCTGCCCTCCCTGCTACGAAACCTACGGAAGCTGACCAACAAGAAAAATAGAAGGAGAAATCTGGCCAAGAAGAAAAAGAGAAGGAGAAATCTGGCCAAGAAGAAAAAGAGGAGGACTCTAGCCATGCATGAAGAAAAGGAGAATGGAAAATCATAAATCATAGTTTGTTCTCTATGAGAAGGAATCGTAACCCTTGCCAGCTCTCTTTGTGGGCTCTTATCAATCATCTCTTATGTCTTGTATAGACTATTACACGGGGGCTTTAATCAATTTTCAGAGAATATTTTTTTTCTACTTTGTGCCTCTATGTTTTTCTATTTTTGTGCGTCTATGTTTTTCTATTTTGATCTACTATGATTATGAGAGATGAAGAGAAAAAGGTCTCAATCGCTGGCGAGGTGCTTTACAATGCTCTGGTTCTGAATCCAGTGGCCAACTATGTTGCTATATACGATATAGATACCAAAAATTAATGTGTTTGGACATGCCATGCCGAGCCATATATATATATATATATATATATATATATATATATATATATATATATATATATATATATATATATGGCAAATGTGCCTATACACGTGTTTCATTGAGAGAGGAGTTTTACAATGCTTTGTTAACCCACGGGTGAGATTCCTGGAATTACCAAAGTGGTGGAGAACACACAAGCAGACCTATCGCGAGGATAATCTTTGTCATATAACGAATACATTTTTGTGCGGCATGTACTTGTGATATTTCAAAAATGATTTAGTTGAGACGGTAGAACGAATAAGGTTTATAGATTGAAAATAAATTACGTCTATCGTAGTCTATCAAGTCAAATTCTCATAAACATGCCGTGTTTTAAACAGGAATCATTTTAAATTAAAACGCAACATGAAATCCAATTAAAACGGCGATTAGGACACATATACCACCAATGAATGGTAACAAGAGACGTGCGCGTCTTTTGGTAGAGCGTCATTATTGTTCTCGTTGCCGCGTTCGGGAGTAGCCGTGAAGCCTTCTCTAGATGGCGGTCATAGCTCATGACGCTTTCGGTGTCGAAGTCGAGTCCCCCTCGGTGTTGAGGAAGACCCTTTCGAAGAGTTCAGAGACGTCAGACCAGCAAGATCAGTTTCAGAGCAGAGTGGGCATATCATCGTCCTCCGTGGGATTGATCATGCCAATGAAGCTGGAGTAGTTTTGTTAGACGGACCTGCTTGTAGATGCACCTGGGGTGATTACAATCAGTCCATCACTCTACATCCTAATTTACGCCTTGTCCGGTGCCAACTACCCAGCTAGCGCGCGCGCTCTCTCTCTCTCTCTCTCTCTCTCTCTCTCTCTCTCTCTCTCTCTCTCTCTCTCTCTCTCTCTCTCTCTCTCTCTCTCTCTCTCTCTCTCTCTCTCTCTCTCTATATATATATATATATATATATATATATATATATATATATATAGAGAGAGAGAGAGAGAGAGGGGTAAATACACGTGCGTTACAACAGAAACACATAATACCATGATAACATATGTATGAGCGTGTGTTATACTGTTATATAAAATAGATACCGCAATTATAATGTTTCAATCAATATTATATAAGTCTTCATGAAAGATAGATAGTTAAAATATAACTCTAAATTTGAATGCAAAACCAAAATATCAACTTCAATTGTCGCATCATTTCATGCCTACGATACGCGAAAGATAAGCTTACACTTCTTTAGTAATCATGTGCTACGGAAAGATAATCATAACAAGTTTGTGTTTCACATTACATGTTTTAGAATATATTCTACAATTAAGAATCTAATCTCTCAATAGTTCGACTAAGAGAACGTGCTTTGCACGAATACTAAGCTGCAGTTGGTCACCAATCAATGATGACCCAAAAGATTTTTTAGTCCAAGATGCCGCGTCTGACTTCTTACAGCTGAAGCATGCAGATGGCTGAAGCTGTAGTTAGAAGTATCCTGCATATAAGTTATTTGTTAATTTTTAAAGTTAAAGTACCATTTGATATCTAAAAAAATATGTATCGACGTGTGATGCATTACCTCTTTTATGGAGTTAGAACATCTTTATATACGATATTCTTTGTGCATATATCATTTGTCGCTTTCTTATTAGGTTTAGGAGGGTTAGGGGCATAGAATCGAACTTCCTTGTCTTCGAAACAAATTATTCTAAAATATTATCATACAAAGGAAATTTTATTTGCTTATGCAATAAATAATCATATCTCTTTTCAGTTTTCTTGGCAGTAAATAAAACCTAATAAAATCGAATACCTTATATTTATTCTAAAATTCAGAAGCTTTGATGGCCTTTCTATTTGATTCTATTCAATAAGTTTGATGAGCAGAAAAAATGGGGTACTCGCCTTCTATTCTTTGTCGAAGCAAAGCATAACCTAAGTTCTTTGACTAACCCCTCTTCGTTTGTGATCTGTGATAGCTGACCGGAGGCGTGGTTGTGGATAGGGATGCACACAGATGGCATCAGGATTTGATTGTTGTTTTTTTTCCTGTGATTTGTCCAATTTTCCTTGAAAGGAAAAAAATACCGTAGATCTTGGAGCGCTGGGGTGCACGCAATCGGGCACAACAACATCCTACCGGTGGACGTTAACATTTCCCTTATTGTTGATTTTTTCCATGATCTGTGCTTTCTGGATTTGCCGAAAAGATAAGAATACCGCAGCTGCATGTTGGTGCGGGGTGCACGTGCATGCATCCATGCATGGAAAGACCCGAAGGAACCTGTGAGGGAGGAGCGCGGGATAGAGCCGGGCAGAGCAGCCATGCAGGGGTTGGGGGAATTTCCTTTTCTACGTCGGGCTGTCATGGATCTCAAGAAGATTTTGGTCCTGCTGGGTACACGTTGACAATCCGTATGTTTTAGTTGTAGAGATTATTGATTTTTTTCTGTGATCTGTGCTTTCTGGATTTGTTGAAAAGATAAGAATACCGCAGCTGCATGTTGGAGCGGGGTGCACGTGCATGCATCCATGAATGGAAAGACCCGAAGGAACCTGTGAGGGAGGAGCGCGGGATAGAGCCGGGCAGAGCAGCCATGCAGGGGTTGGGGTAATTTCCTTTTCTGCGTCCGGTAGTCATGGATCGCAAGAAGATTTTGGTCCTACCGGGTAGACGTTGACAATACGTATGTTTTAGTTGTAGAGATTGTTGATTTTTTCCGTGATTTGTGCTTTCTGGATTTGCAGAAAAGATAAGAATACCACGGCTACATGTTAGAGCGGGGTGCACGTGCATGCATCCATGCATGGAAAGACCCGAAGGAACCTATGAGGGAGGAGCACGGGATAGAGTCGGGCAGAGCAGCCATGCAGGGGTTGGGGAAATTTCCTTTTCTACGTCGGGTAGAAATGGATCGCAAGAAGATTTTGGTCCTGCCGGGTAGACGTTGACAATCCGTATGATAACTAAAAAATTCCTACGATCAACATCTACCCGGCAGGATGATAGGTCATGCGACCCCGCGTCTACCTGGCTAAAAAAGCCAACAGAAATCAATCGAATCTCTTTCCCAGAAAGAGCGCGATCGACGTGATCCTACAGCGCTATTTCTCTCCCTCGCTCCTCCGTCACATGGCACATCGTCCAGGGCACGCACGATGGCTTCGCCTAGCTGAGGGTGCCCCGCTAGGCTAGGGCGCGATGCACAGCAAAAGCACCGCCCTGAGCCACAAGCCCGTGATCCCGTGCTGCCCGCCGCCGATGTGCATCTTGCAGCGCTACCACGATGCCTCCACTCCTCAAGCATGCGCGGCCATCAGTCTCCACCTCCCTCCAGGCTACGCTTGCCTCCAACAGCCGCAAGTGCCTCTAGCACCAGACTAGCAGGATCTAGGATTCGGCCGATCTCTCTCTGCTCACAGATCCACGATCGACACTCCCTGCGCCCCATGATGGAGTCATCCGGCGATGGCGGCTCTTGTTCGCCGCCGCCCTTGGTGCGGATGGGGCACCCCAACCCTTCGTCAGCGCCCCTCATATATCTTTAGGTAATTCCCTTACTCATCAAGAAGTAATAGTTGCTGTGCTACTGTCGATCATCTGTCTTGCCGTGCTGCTCCTCGGTGCGCTGCTTGTTGTCTGGATTGCTTGAGCCTTCTTCTCAAGCTTGGTAGGACACTTAGAGGCAAAGTGTCCCATATTTCCACAGTTGAAGCACTTGATGTGAGCATAATCTTTCTTCTCATCTTCATTCTTGCTCATCATCTTGGCATCTTGAGTTTGCATTGGATGCCTTGCCTTTCCACCCCTTCTTGTTTTCTTCTTCGTCGTCATCAAGTCACCACCATCTTCATGATAGATCTTGACTTGCTCTTGGGGTGTCTTCTCTTGCTCAACTTGTGGCTTTGGTTGAGGCTTCACTTATTGCTTTACCAATTGTTTGGTTGGGCACATTGAGGTAAGATGACCCCAAGTGCGGCACTTGAAGCACTTCACATGCTTGAGCCTCTCTTCTTCTTTCTTCAACTTGAGCTTTTCTTCATTGGGGCAACCATTTGCAAGATGTCCCACTTCATGTCATTTGAAGCACATGAAATGAGAGAGCCTCTCCTTTTCTTGCTTCTTTATCTTTCTTTCTCTTTTTCTTTCATCATTGGTCATGCTCTTCTTGTTGAAGCCGATGCCAGACTTATCACCATATCTTCTTTGAGTCTTCAACATGTGCTCAAAGATGACTTTTGAGTTGTAGCACCTCTCTAACTTGTTGCTCAAATTCTTCACTTCATTTTTGAGCTCATTGTTCTCCTTTAAAAGGTTAGTCTCACAAGACATAGAAGTAGAATAAGCATCTATATGTGAAGAGTATGGCATATCTAATAAATCATCACAAGAGGTGGATACATGCTTCTTGCCTACATCACAAGGGTTAGCAACAATTTGTGATTGATCAATTGACCCATGTGATGAGCTCTCACTAGTTTTAGATTTTTCATTTGAAAGTTCTTTACTGAGAAAGGCATGGTCTTGTACCAAGTTATCATGAGTAACACTAAGTTCCTCATGAGCCAATTTTAGCTCCTCAT